CGTTCGAAGACGAGTGTAAAGGTACACATCTCGTCTCAAAATGCCACGGACATTGAGTATCGTTCCCTTGTCAGTTCAAAAATCTGCAAATAGCGGGAAACCTGCGGCGGGTCCCGAAGCGGACGCTCTTCCAAATAGCACCTTTAGATTACTGGTTCACTAGTCATACGAAACGAACTGTACAATGTTTAGCCAACTACTCAGACACTCGCTGCGGCGGCGGGCGCGCCATAATAGCGCTACAGTGCGAGCGGCGCGCTCTATTTGATGCTGCCGTGCGAGCGGCGTGCCCTATTTGAGGCTGCCGTGCGAGCGGCGCGCCACAGTTGAGGCTGCAGTGCGAGCGGCGCGCCATCGTTCGCAGCCGGCGAGCGGCGCGCATTATTACGGCCGCCGGCGCGCTTATTCGACATTCGGCGCGGCGGCGCGCGCGCCACTATAACACTGTATTGCGAACGGCGCGCCCTAGTTGAGAGTGCGAGCGGCGCGCAATCTATCAGTGAGTGGCGTGCCATGATATCTTCCGCATTTTCACACGCTGTAAGCACAAGCGATACCTGCGTGAAGTACGACGCAGTGTTTTGGGTGCTTTATCGCCAATTTATCAAGGTTATCGCTGTTTCGCAATGGAGTTGTCTCATTAACACAAGTGGGATTCTTCTAGTTCTTCCATTGAGACTCAGTCCTCATAAGCACCGCGAGTAGGTGCCGAGTTTGAAAGTTTGGGAATTTGAATTTTTGAATTTTTGAAATTTGAATTTTCAAATTTGGAAACTTTGGAAACTTTGGAAACTTCTAGTTCATATTTGAAATTGAAGCCATTGTTTGCCTGAAATTGAAGGTTGTTATCAGGTCTACCACAGATTCACCGTGATTCGCAGTGCTTCAAATGCGAATGGCAATTTTCATACCGGGCGAGCGGCGTGCCATTATCGTATGGCGCGCGTCCCATCTACTCACGGCGCGCGTACCATTTACTCGCGGCGCGCGCGCTATTTGACGGCCGGCGGCGGGCGACATGAGGGGCCGCACGCATAAGACGCGCGCGCCGCCGCAGCGAGTGTCTGAGTACTTCGTCAAATGAAGTCAGAACGAACTTTACGCACAAAAATCGTTTGGTAAAACAATTTCCACTGTCCGGTGCACTTAGAAAAGTTACAGTAAACGAGTATACGAGTGCACGCGTCGCCTGTGAGTCCCGACGCGTACTATGGCGAATATGAAGGGCGGCGGGCCGGGCCGAATGTCTGACCGGCCGACGACCGTTCCATGACCGGCTGGCGAGCGAGCACGAACGGCTGAGACGGATCCCGATGTCCCGCCAGACGGCCATCGTCCGGTCGCCGGCCGCTGCAAATTTCTGACCGGCTGGCGTCCGGCCCGCGACCGGCTCGGCCGAAATATCGGTGATGTTCCAGACGCTCGTCGGACGGTCGCCGGCCGGTGCGAGTGTCTGAGTTGCGTGAAGTTGCATGTTCTGCAGCCAACATTAGCTTCACGCTCAGTTTTTTATTGAGTGAGTTGCAACGTCTTGTTCGGTTTTCTTCACATCCTTACTTTGTGGTCTGAATCGATTAGGTTATCGTAGAGTGAGTTAGAAGCTTTGGGGTATTGTCTTTTTGTGTTTAGTGTTGGGGAGACTGTCATTGATTTTTTATTCATTAGAAGTGACTTGGAAGTAATCTTCGTTTTTTACTAATGGCGGCAAATAGAGGATCTGCGGCGCAGCGTTTTTCAAGAGTGTACTGTAATAAATGTATCTAGTCGGAAACATGCTACGGTACATGGCTTCGTTGATTCGAAAAGCAACTATATTACATAAAAGTCTTTACTTATTGAAGATCATTGTGGTTTCAAATTCTGAAAGAGGAATAGATCTGTTGCATATTACAGAGAATTCACGTGAAACTGATTAGAATCTGAGCAAATCATCCCTACTTTATATGCATAATAGCAGAGGAGTTTTTCTTGTCAAACTAACTACCTTGCAATGTCTGGTATTCATTGGACACCGGTTCGTAGAATAAGCTTTTTTATTGGTATTTCCTGCATGTCCGCGCCATCGAATGGAGGTCGATAGTGCGGGAATAAGCACTTTCGGGGGTGGCGCTGCTACGCTGCTATTGATTTCTAGTTCTCTCTGTCGTGCATTTTCTGTTTTCGCCTGTCCAAAACCTCTTTTTTCTCAAAAAGAAGTAGAAAACAAAAGTTTGTGATATATTACAAAATATAATACGAATTTATATTACGAACTAGTCACTAGTCTAATGTTTGTTTGTTTCCTTCTCGAGAATAGCTTGCGCGGTGCAACCAGCAAAATAATTCGGTTGAGTTTTGCTAAAAAATGATGGTTCAGTCGCAGTGGTATTTTGGACTGGAATGTATACTTACTTAGAGGGCATGAAATGCTGTTTTTAGATCTGCCTTTCTTATCGCGGGACATTATATAGGGCCCAAAACATAGTTCACGATTTCAGCCGCGACGCGATTTGGCAATACTCCAGTTGGTCATAAGTAATCGTAAGGGGTTTCTGAATGTACGGAAGATAGGGCTTTTCATAAACCTACGAAAGTCATATATGCTGTGCCTTTGAGTCTCATGTATTGAGAAAACATTTAATTGCCAGATCGCGGGGCGACTGAAACCCTGTGATTATGCCTTGGGCTTAAAGGCAGCAGCTCGCCAAAACCGGGTGTAGGGCGTTAGGCGACAAACCCGATTTTTTGGACCCCAGATAACTCCCCGTGTAAAACGTCTCCTCCGCCAAAAACAGGGGGGTGGGGGTCGGGCCGATACATTACTCGACGCCATCAAAAGAAATTGCACATAGTTTTGACTTACGGGCTTTACGTTGATTGCGTTTTGCACGTTTTGTCGCCTAACGCTTGCCCTCCGCCAAAACCGAACATCCGAAATTTTAACATGTTAGGTTGCTTGCACCCCAAACGTGAGAACAGAGCAGGCCCGAGCGCACAGCATGCTGCCCTTGCCTAGAAAACCCCGTTAGGCCTAAGGCATACACATACCTCACGCGATTCGTCCAAATCGCCACTTTCACGCGACTTGGCGATTTGCCAGATTTCTACAAATTTAACGTGCGCACTTCTCGGATGCATATTTGGATAGCTTGTGTAAGTTGTTGCAAACGGATGACGTTCTGACTAAAGACAGCGCATTAGCGACGAATTACGAAGAGTCGCTGTTGTGCCAAATCGTGCGGCGACCGGAATCGCGCGAGGTATGCCTTAGGCCTTACGCGCAAGCCATTCTAATGCGCGCGGACAAGCTTGCGATTCTCTCTGACCCGTCAGAGAAGGCAATGCCGCAATGTTATAATCGCGAGGGTCCTGCACGATTCTGCGTCTCTAACCATGGCGGGGCAACTCCACTCGTCCAAATTTATAATGGAAGGCCTTGGGAAATGGTGGTTTTTGCCATTTTCGCGCTCTTTAAGGTGGATCTTCGGAATCAGCGCCTCGCCCTAGGTAAGCAAAAAAACTTCAAGTGGAGAATCTGCCGAGCCGCTGCCTTCAAAGGCACCGTCCACCCAAAATGGGGTCAGTGAGATTTTGATGCCTAACCATAGTGGGGCTCCCAACTGTTTACTTATCCAACTCGCACTGGCAAAAGTAACTTCCGAAGCGAAAAATTGCTTCAATCGCTCGGATGACATATTCACCACGTTGGCTCCTCCCTTTTGAGTGGGGACGTCCTTCCCGCCTATCCGTGCGCGCCCAACCAATCCGGGTTCTGAAAACGAGGGTTTTTCGTGGTTTTCGCGGACTTCCAATTTGATATTCGGAAGCAGGAGTATGAGAAGGCCCTGGAACGGCAAAGACACGGAGGTCGAGACTTTGGGTGGACGGTGCCTTTAAGGGAACGGCCATAGGTTCGCAGTGTTCGCGGTGTTCGCAGTGTTCGCGGTGTTCGTGGTGTTCACGGTGTTGCTGCTTGATGTTGTAAGCTGCTCGAAGGTGGTAATGTGTTTACAATCAATGCAAAATTAATTCATAAAGTGGAAGTTCAACTACAAAATGTGCATTACGCAACACCGACAACACCGACAACCGCGAACACCGCGAACCCTGCGAAACCACGAACACCGCGAACACCAGGAACACCGCGAACACTGCGAACCTATGGCCGTTCCCTAAGAAAGTTAATATGTAGACACGAGGCCTGCTGCGGTACGAAAGCGAGTATATAGAATAAAATTGGCACCGACTATTGTTCTACCGCTCATAATGGAGCAACGATAATCATTAGTGCTTGTTCAACAAATACTCTTATGTATATGTCTAGTCTGCTAGATCTTAGCCTGTAACATTTTTTACAAATGACGTTATTATTCTATTTGCTTATTCAAGTTGTCTTTCAATAAACTCATATAAATGACCTCGCTTAGAAATGTTCCACTTATAAGAAAGGCTATTTGAAATCGTGTTTCTCCTGAGCAATGTACATCTTGTTCCTGGAGGACCACTTCGATCAAAGTTTTGAATAAAAGGCTGTGTGGTGAAGCTCGTCGATTGGCTGGAAGTATATACATCTGCATTAGGAACAACGGCGCGAATTAGTGTGCATGAAGCTACAAACCATAGAATAGAAACCATAGAACCATAGAACCTTTTTTTTTCGACATATACATATTTGTCTATATCATTTCCTTTCCCATTGCCACAATTCTTGACGAGAATATCAGTCAACCTAAAAACACTACCGTTTCCCGACTATAGTTCTGTTCAAAACAATATGAATTCATGATTTCAGGAAAAGAGGTGGAGTTATCAAGTGCGTGAACTCGTCTTTGCTTGAGTGTATAGACTATATTTCTTGCATTTCTTGGCGAAGTAATTCGTCATAATGATGTATCTCTCTCTTCCTTCAGTTCTCACCCATCTGGCCAATCAGTAAGGGTGACGATTTCTAAAGCGTCAAAAATTTTCTCCTCTCCCCGTCCGTTTTCATTACGTATCGTAGTGTGTAGTATTTGTTGTGTCAAGTCATACTCATAGGTTGCTGCGGAGATAGCGTTGCGGCAGATGATGGGACATTGGACTGACTTTGTTTGCAACAAATAACAAAGTCTGCTTGGAGTCAGAAAATGGCATTACTCCCGGTGCACTCGTTCCCTAGCGCCGTCTTTTTCGAAGCACGGATGCTGGGTCAACCAGCGACAGTGGTATCACAAGTTGGACTTTCCATCGATGCACCCGAATGCAGTGTTGCGGTTTTTTGTGAGTGTTTTGAGCCCATTATGAATAATAGTGCTGCGCACCGTTCAATTTGCACTGTTTCTTTTCTTTCTACTTTACAAAATCTACATTTTGTTCTAATACATTCCCAATTTTACTTCTGTTTTCCTTTGTTTTACGGAGTTTTCCTTGTTTTTTATGCTTTCAAGAATTCCTTACAATTATGTGGTGATTTAGGCCATTCGTGGACAGCGTGTGCCACCCTGGCCACTTTATACAGTTTTTGAAAGAGTGCGTTAGGCCCTGGCCAGACTTCGCTCAAAAGCGCCCAAATTTCTCTGCGTCTCTTCACTTTCCGTGCGAGGAGAGATGAGAGAGAGTGAGGAGAGGATAGAGAAGTTTGGGCGCTTTTGAGCGCTTTTGAGCGCTTTTGGGCTCTTTTGAGCGCTTTTGAACCCTTTTGGGCGCTTTCGGGCGCTTTTGAGCGCTTTTGAGCGCTTTTGGGCTCTTTTGAGCCCTTTCGGGCGCTTTTGAGCGAAGTCTGGCTAGGGCTTTAGGCCTCGAGCAAAGTTCACGCGATTTCATCACCTCGCCATTTCCCAACAACATAACAAGTTGGAAGTCCATTTTATGTCGATCACCTTGCATCTCGTTGTGATAGTTATTCACGATTAGTCGGGTCGGGGAACTATTAGGTTGTAAGGGAAGTTCCCGGGCACTTTTGAAAATTTCATTTTCAAACGCATTTTTTCGGCGCTCGGTCGGACTTTGACACCAAGTTTTTTTATACTGTTCAGTAGAGGGAAGCCTGAAGTTTTCAGCGGGCCTTCTGGTTTTTATCGATGCCAAGACGTGTTTGATCTGCACGTCGAAAAGAAAAATCTTTCCAACCATAAAAATTTCGCAATTTTTCTTCCTGCGCCCATTTTTCTGTGCAGTTCAGAGAATTTCGTCCAAATCATGAGTGATCTGATTGAGGAGCCTGTTAGCTTTTGACCCGCAGCTGCACTCGAGTAGTGCGACTTGTGCTCAGAAATTACAAGCTGTCGAAATTGTTTCTGACTGCAACTCTTTTCGCAGCAGACGTCGCTTATACGGGGATCGCCACGCGTGGATGATAGGTCCAAAAGATGTGTAAGGCATTAGCCCAACAATGTTCGCAGTAATCAAAGATTTGGTCTACCCTATGCAGAAAGAGAAGATTTCAAAGCTTACTCGAAAAATGGTGCATTTTTGAGGGTAAAAAATGGTCGACTTTTCGAACTTTCTGGGGAGAATTTTTTGCAGGTGGTCCTTCAAAAACATGAATGGTCTCCATAACAGCCCCAGCAGACCTCTATATAACTACAGCATCTGGGCTTTCCAGCTTTCATATACCTGAGATAATCCTGCACAAATAGGCCACTTTTCGCGATAACCTTTTTTCCTTATGCGCATGCTGGTGGACCGCAGTGAGGTGCTGAGAAGCCAGCAAGACAAATATATGTTGTGGACAAAATTGTCTTTGCATTCAAGTTTGTAGCTTCAAAAAAGAATTAATCTGCTTGAAGTTACAGCGATTTGAAAAAAAATTTTCGCAAGTGTCCGGGAACTTTCTTTACAACCTAATATTACACCGAAATGTAGGAGGATCCTGCAACGAGCTCATAGCAGTTGTCTTGTTGGGGAAAACGCGAGGCGATGGAGGCGCGTGAATTGTGCCCGAGGCCTTCGTAAGCACTTAATTCCTGGACTCTTGCTAATGCAATCCTTGCCAATTTTAGTATTCAAATAGAAGGCAGTTGCCTGTGATAAAGCCAATAATCAGAATTCATGCCGAAAATCTGAAAATCGCATAATACTACCGAATTTCAAGAATTCCGATTTCGTATATCCTGCTTACCTATAGAGCTGCATAGATAGCTTAACGGCAGCGTCCAGGCAGATCTGGACCTATGGGGCTTTTACGTGGAAAGTACTTTGGGGCCCTAGCTAAGGCACTGCCCAAGCGGCAGCTCAGGTAGTGCTGTAATGGCTGAGATATTCCCCACGAAACTGGCCCCCGCGAACGTATTCGCATGGATTCATGGCAGTTTCGCGCCAGGATCCACGCTTTGCACCATGAATCCATGCGAAACACGGTCGCGGGGTCCAGTTTCGAGGGGAATATCTCAGCCATTACAGCACTACCTGAGCTGCCGCTTGGGCGTGCCTTAGTTAGGGCCCCAAAAGTACTTTCCACGTAAAAGCCCCATAGGTCCAGTTGCCTGGACGCTACCTTTAAGGCAGCTACGTTTTGTGGGTGTATGACTTTATGAACGATAGCATGTGCCAGCCGCCAGCTGGCTACCGTACGCGGTGCGCTGAACGCTCCGCCTCCTGATGGTTTTAGCATGCGAATGCGTTTCACTTATGGGAGAGCCTCTCTAACATTTCACTCATGCTGTAGCTGAAGTTCAAAATTTTGATTTACAAAATATTCAAAAATTCAAAAATCATCTTTCAGAATCATTTATTTATATTAAAACAGTTAGCAAGCTCTTTTTTGATCTACGTTGATTTTTTGTTACCAACGGGTTTGTCCGAACTGAGGAAAAATCTGACAAAAAAGCATTTGAGAGTAACTTATTTTGAAAATGCTCGAAAAATGTTTCAGTGCACGTCATTTACATTTGTCATTATACATAGATTTGATTAAGAAGAGATCAGCTTGTCGAAAAACATTACCACTGCCGAAACATCTGATCAGCATGATTTTCTTTTTCATCAAATGTTAAGTTTTGATCATGTAATGTATGTCCGCTAATTCAAATTTAGTGGAAGAAATGCATGTTTAAATGCTTGAATTCCGACAATGCTAACAAGGGAATGGTCAGAAGTCGAAGTGGCCAATCTATACAAGCTGCATACCATTCGATGCAGCATAAAATGCTGATTTCAAATCTGTCTTCCGTATCTGCAGAGCGCCTTTGTAAGCGAAGTTATGATCAGCCTCAGTGCGGAAAAATCGTACATAAAAATTGCGAGATTAGGCACATTATTGCCCTTTTCGCTCATCTTCAGGTACTGGCCGTATGAATTGACCTAGCTGCATGTTTCGATCTAGCACTGAGCCGGGTATGGCTCTGTACGGCCGAGTTTGCCTTTTACACACACTATTTCTTAGCAAAATAATGGCCTTTGACGGGTTATAATTTCGTCCACAAAAACGCTCTGCAGATAAGGAAGACAGATTTAGAGTCAGCGTTTTATGCTGCATCTAATGGTAGCAGCTTGTATGGATTGGCCACTTCGATTTCTGACCATTCCCATGTAAGGAGGATTGCAAAGAACTAATTTTGGTCCAGGAAGCTGGTCTAGAAAAAAAGGAAAGACTACGAGATGATAGCTAACGTAAAAATCATTCTGATAATGTTTTGAACGACCAGACCACTCATTTTAGGAAATACCGGCTACAGCTCAACATAGACTAGGAAAATCACACTACATTGAATTTTTTAAGAAGTGCAGACAATAAATATATTTACACTGGTTCTAAAAACTTACCTTTAAAACAAATCGATTGCGAATTCACGCGAAACTGCTTGTGAACGGGTCAAAGTCACGAGGTCACTCAAACAATCATGCCTGAGGTAACCTACATTGATTTCACACTTCAAATGCATATCTACGGAGATAACCGATCAACTTGATATGAGTCAGCAAAACCATCAAATTTTACAATTAAACACCATTAACTCAAAAATTGCAAAAGTTGCAAAAACAAAATGAGATTTCATAAAGTTAAGTCCCCCGCCCTCTCTTCACAGCTTAAAACAAGCTTATGGCTTACTATTAGGAGCTGCTCCGAATGAGCTAGTGATCACGGACTTGATGTACTGCCAAATGTCTAGTGCAGAAAACTCGTCCATTTAGCGATAGGCGGGGCTAACGGTGCGCACCTTATTGACACATGCCTGCCTAAGCGCGCGCTATCGTTCATAAAGTCCGCCACCCACGTTTTGTTGCTTTAACATTCAAGCGTAGACCCAAGATTTTTGGACTGTGCTTGTTGCGTGCTTCTAAGCCAGTAGATGCTTTCAGGACATTTCGTGACTCTTTTCTCCTCATCTCGTCACTCTCTCATAATCACCGTGAGATATGCACTTGGCACTACAATGTGTCCATATTTGATTTTTCATCAGTCTCAAACGGGTCTCCAGCATCCTTTTTTTCATTTAAAGGCAGCGTCCAGGCAAGTCTGGACCTATGGGGATTTTGCGTGGAAAGTACTTTTGGGGCCCTAACTAAGCCACTGCCCAACCGGCAGCTCAGGTAGTGCCCTAACGCCTGAGATATTCCCCTCGAAACTGGACCCCATCACCGTGTTTCGCATGGATTCATGGCGCAAAGCGTGGATCCTAGCGCGAAACTGCCATGAATCCATGCGAATACGTTCGCGGGGGCCAGTTTCGTGGGGAATATCTCAGCCATTACAGCGCTACCTGAGCTGCCGCTTGGGCAGTGCCTTAGCTAGGGCCAAAAGTACTTTCCACGTAAAAGCCCCATAGGTTCAGATCTGCCTGGACGCTGCCTTTAAATGCTCGAAAAATTCCATTGAAGGCATATTTGATTACTACTATGTGTCCACTGTATGGTGGCCAAGTTGGAGATCCGTAGGATTTTTTGTTGCGGAAAAGCAAATTACAGGAATACATTTTATTTTGTTTTTGGTACTTTTACCTGGATTTAAGACTCATACAGTACCCACACTAATTATTCGACAGAAAACGCAAAAACTGACGATCCGCGTTTTTTTTCGTTTTTTCTTCATAACTTCCTTCAGATTGCATGAAATACGAATTGGAAGAAAGCATGATGTTTAACTCGTCAGGATGAATCTTCTGATATACTGCACTCTCTTACTATTCCGTTTTCAGTGTGTTTGATTTTTGTATGATGACGAGTTTTCGTAGTGGTGTAAATCAGCGAAGAACACACATGGAAGATTCATGTAAGCATGGTTCGGTAGAACTGTTTACGTAGACATCACATACCAGCGAATAGCGAAGGATCCCTTTTTCATAGAGGAAGACAGGCCGGTGAATTTTGAAAAAATCGATGTCTCTCAAATTTTAGCTACCGTAACCATTCAGTAAGGCGCTAACTTGCAAAGCAGGTGTGTTTTTCGTGATCAGCAGGCTAGATAACCGCTATGCGCAAGTTTTCCTTGAAATTCGGGCCTTTTGATTATTTTCTCGTTCTAGCCTGTGAAGCTCTCTGACGGGTTTTGGCTAAAATATTGATGATCTTGGATTGACCGGAAACTTCGCCATTAGAGGTTTTCGACTCGCTGATTACGAAAGTAGTGCTCTTTCTGCAGCGTAAGTTCTTCTGGCAGGGTCATGCTGAGAGGAATGCTGCGATATTACGCAAGTTCCTAAATTCGTCTGCCCTTTTCGCGTATCATCAGAGACAGTGCTGTCAGAGCATTCTCAAATTAGATTTTATTTATATTGATCGCGGAACTATGAGCTTACGAACTCACGTCCTCATCGTTCGGAATTTTAAGATCGCATATTTTGGCCAAATATCGCCGCGAATGGTTACAGAACACTTTGATTGCAGATATCATGTTATACATATGTAAATTGATAATTCCATCACAGCATACTTTTACGTCCTGTGCCAACTCTTACATCTGTACTTCAAAGTTTGCAAAACAGCGATAGAGTCGGTAAAGATAACTGCTTTCAAAAACTGACATTGTATCCGTAATCAGCACCCTCACTCATCTACTTATATCAATTCCCAGCTCGGTAGCTCAAAGTTCGCAAAAAAGTCGATTCGATATCGACCAATGACGAAATGTAGTCTACGAGACCAGTTCGGCCTCTAACTTGTGTGCAAAGTTTGGCTTCAGGGATAAAATTCTGTTGATACGCACAGACACACAGACACATAACAAACAGCCATCCACTCTAGATGTTAGAGATGAATAATAACAATAACAGTTGGAATTCTAAAGTCTGTCAATTTCATCATGAAATCGTATATCGCTTCCACCATACCAATTACTCTATGCCATCTAATGGATCTAGCAACTACATTATTATATTTTAGGTTAGTTTATCTTCTTTATTTTGTTTTTGTCTATTTTTATATATGATTGACGATCTTACTTCACTACTGATGAGTTCCGGGAAGATCGTATGCTTACCTACTTTCCATATAGTGATAGGAACGAAATGGAAACTAGGTAATTTTTTTTTCTTCTTTTATATGTGAGAGCACTGTCTCTAATGATTTCAAATTACAAAAACTAGCATGTAAGTTGTCTAACAGATACGAGAAAGGGCAGACAACTTTAGGAACTTGCGTAATATCGCAGCGTTCCTCTCAGCATAACCCTGCTAAAAGAATTTACGCTGCACAAGGAACACTACTTTCGTAAACAGCGAGTCCGAAAACCTCTACTGGCGAAGTTTCCGGTCAATCCAAGATCATCAATATTTTGGCCAGAATCCGTCGGTGAGCTTTACAGGCTAGTACGAGGTAATAATCAAAAGGCCCGAATCTCTTGGAAAACTTGCGCATAGCAGTTATCTAGCCTGCTGATCACGAAAAACACACCTGCTTTGCAAGTTAGCGCCTTACTGTATGCTTACGGTAGCTAAATTTTGAGAGACATCGATTTTTTCAAAATCCACCGGCCTGTCTTCCCCTATGGAAAGGGGATCCTTCGCTATTCGCTAGTATATGATAATCTACGTGAACAGTTCTACCGAACCATGTTTACATGAATTTTCCGTGTGTGTTCTTCATTGAGTTACACCACTACAACCCGTCGTCATACAAAAATCGAACACACGGAAAACGGAATAGTAAGAGAGTGCAGTATATCAGAAGATTCACCTTGACGAGCTAAACATCATGCTTTCTTCGGATTCGTATTTCATGGAAGCTGAAGGAAGTTATGAAGAAGAAACGAAAAAAAACGCGGATCGTCAGTTTTTGCGTTTTCTGTTGTACAAAGTGTGGGTACTGTACGAATCTTTGACGGTCATTTTGTAGAGCTTGTGCTTTATCGAGGGATACCCTAAGTTTGCTAGAAAACAAGAACAGCATAATTTATTTAAAAAAGGAGTTTACTTTTGAAATAACTTAATAATTTTTGCTTTTGGATAGGAGTAGAGCTGGTTGAGATTATGAAGGTTCTTATAGCCTCGAGTCTTCTTATCCAGTTAGGTTCCTCTCCACACTATCTCGGAAGATTTAGTGTAAATTAAGCTTTGTATATGTACGTTCTGCTCCGTCTGTGAAAACAGCCCTCCATCTTACGCATACCTGTGCACTCTCCTCAGTTACACATTGATGCTTCTTTGTCTCGTATGCTCGTACTACACTCAGCTGCTGTCGTCGGACAGCTGCCCCTTCGTTTTCTTGGCAATTGATTTTGTCACACGAAATCGAATTGCCTACTGCTTAGACTTTTGGTAGCACGTGGTGGTCCTGGAAAACCATATGATTTTTCGGCATTGTCGAAATTTGTGACGGAAATGAACGCGGCCGAGATTTATGTGGATTTTTTGAGCACCAAGATTGTATTTTCGCTGCTGTCACCTTTTTGTGAGCAACGTCGAGCACTGAAAGGTGAGAAAAACTAGTCAGTATTACATGTTCATGCCTCTTCTGACATCGCATTCTTTTTCATTTGCTTTCATCTTCCTTTGCATCAAAACCCGTTTGAGGCTTTCAAGAAAAGCGTTCTACTCTGCGCATTCTTGCCATATCAGACTCCTACTATCCTTTGTAGTCAAGAATGCGAAATTATGACAGTATTGTATGCTTGTCATAATATTCCACAAAATAAATTATAAAAGATCACTCTTTTGTTTCATTCCTGGTAGCTTTGAGTAATCGGTGGATGTTTTTTTCTTAGAATGCCTATTTTTTTGTTATGATGGTTTTAACAGTAATTGCATCACATTTGATTCAAGGGTTTTGAAGTTGGACATTATTATTTAAGCTCGTGCGAGTGGTGTGCTTCTTGTTGCTGGTGTTGGATCATACTGCGTTTATCGAATATGCACCAAATATCTAGGAACGAGGTGAGCGTACTTTTTTTCCTTGTGGGGAGTTCGAAGGAAAGTAACATTTGCTAATGCGTAATTTTTGTGCGTTTTAGTCTCTCACACATTATATGCCTAATTGTTCATCATCGGTTCGTTATGTAGTTCTTTTTCCGGATTCCGTTACAGCATTCTTCACTTTTCAAGTCTCACATTATAACAAAGCGGAGAGTTTCTCCTGTAGGGGAAAGGCAAAGTTATAATTTCCGTTTCCTCGCATGATTTATCTCATTTTTTTATATAAGTCTGTTCTCTATCTCCAGATCTAGCTGTATACTGAAGCCAGTCCAACAATAAGATATTTTTACTTTCTTTGATGTTATGAAAAACTCCATTTTCTGCAAAATTTCCCTGTTTTCAAGTTAACTCATTGATCGCTGCAAATAGAGAGCCAGAATCCTGTAAGCATGCAAAAATTATGTTATAGCAGAAGCTTACGACTAGATTTTGAACCTCTCAAACAGGGCTCAGCACGAGGTGGCTTTTTCATCCTTCCGAAAACGAAGTCCCCACTGACTTCGCAGCTAACATACGACATCCCCTATGACCACTAATGATTAAAACAAACAAAACGAGCAAAGAAGAATACAAGTGGAAAACGGAACACGAAGTTGACGGTAAGAACAAGTAATCATTTTCGTATTCATTTAATTGGCGGCACACTTTCTCCATCGCGCACCATCGCGCGCCTGTAGCAGCATTGCCGCCGCTACACAGAATTTTTCCAGGGCTGTAACTAGGCGGGGAGTAGGGCGTTTGAGGAGCTTCAAAAACTGGTTTGTAGGGATTTTTAGAACAATAATACGTAAAAATTTTGAAAAATTATTTGAATCTTTTTACATCCACGTCAGGTGGCTGGTGCTTTACAGCCACCTAGCTCCTAAAAAAGTTTGCCACGACTTTAGTTTAAGTTTTTCATAATTTTTTACACATAGTTCCACCTCCCTATTGCCCATCTATACACCAATTTTGGCGTCATATCATTTCCTCTCCACTGTAAACATGGCTTTTGTCTACCTCGGGGCGTATTTTTGCATTCCCGCACTTCCACGGATAGCATATTGAGCGGGAAGTTGTTGGTTTTGCAAAGAATGGAGAGTTCTAAGGCAGTGCTGAGCACTTGTAACGTCTCCAGAAGATAGGTAGGTGGCTTAGAAGGGGAGGGAGGGGGGGGGGGGGTGCAATTGTGTGCTCCGCCAAGGACCCGCAAAAACGATATCCCCTTTACTTTCTACTCCAAAACGATATCCAGCCTTCCAGGTAAGCCACCTCTGCCGAGCCCTGCTCTCAGATCGGTGCTATGATGAATTGTGCTGCTTCTTCGATTAACTGCAAATTACATATATCATTGACAGTTTGCAAGGAAACAGCTTTTCTTTTTTTCGCAATAAGGATGTTTTCAAACGTTTCCTTTTCATACTCTATAATGAAGCTCGAGCACCCCCATTAGGGCAACGGATGTTTGTCGATCTCTTGTCTTAACTTTTGCACTTTGGCGTTTCCAGACTGTTTACGCTGGTTCGACCCAGCGCCACCTGTGCACAACGTATGACTCATAATGGTGGTGATGCCTGGCTTAGATCATATATCAAGTAACATAACCAAAAAATGCAGTCACGACACTAAACGCTGTGAGCATTAACATCGATTACTTTCATCTCTGCTATACATCAGATCGTCTTCATTTACAAAATTAAGTCTACTTCTAGAATCAAATGGGTATGCAATAAAAGGCACATGTACATGTGGCGTCCTTAGAAATACTAAATCCAAATATGGATCCACATATGCAGAAGGTGCACAAGCATTGTTTCCTCACATCTGATATTTTTGTGCCATATTCTTCAAAAAAATACATAGCAATTGTTTTAGCAAATGAGCTGCAATTTTCAGGTTTCCTTTATCAAATAATGTGTTTTTCTGTTAAAAGCACTGTATGTTTGTTCAAATCTACATGCTTATTGTGTTTCTCAAAGTAGAGAGATTGCACAGAATTTGTATTTCGAAATTTTAGCCTGCTTCTGATATTTTGTGTGTGATTCGCATCCATACAATTCTTGAGTAAGTGGTTCATGGCCGAATTTTTTTCGCAAGCTTCTCAAAATCTTTGACTTCCTGAGCATGGTCTCCACCCATGATTTCTTTCTAAGTACTTCTTTTGAAACACTATAAATCTATGAAAAAGTGGCGGTAGGACGGTCTAGACCGCAGGTTCCACTGACTTAGCAGAACAACTGGTAAAATAAAATGGTTTATCAGTAATATGACAAACCACAAGAAGAAGCTGATATACAAATAAAGAGAATAAGAGTAGTACAGAAGAGCTAATACAGAACAGTGAATAGAGAACTGTTGAGGAGCTAGTGAGGAACTATTGAGGAACGAGCTAGACATCTTAGAACCGAAACACGAGATATGGTGATTCGTACATCCCATAGGTTGGGTTCAAGGCTAATAGTGTGACAAAAAACCTAGCCGGGCGCCTGGAGGCTACACGTCCCCCCTTATCGTAAGTGGCGTCCCGACACTTAAACTACTAATAAACTCAACAAAAACCTACCTAACTTAACTTAACCTAAACTAACTAAGCTTAACTACAACTACTGACACTTAACAACTACGAATATTAACACTTAACAACACAACAACAACGACTACAACAACGATCTATCTTCATTTCTTCTTCGTTGTTTTTCGTTGTGGTCGTTGTCCAGAAGGTCCTTGCCCATGTGATTCTTGTCCATGCGTCCTTGTCCGTGTGGTCCTTGCCCATGCGGTCTTTGTCCATGCGATCCTTGTCCATGCGATCCTCTTCCAGATTTCTGACACCGCAACAAGTGTCCACTCCTTTCTGTTTGATTCCGTTGTGTCTTTTCTCTTGTACGACTAGTTCGGCAGGAATGTGCTCTGACATAGTCGATCATTTCAAGAAAATCCCAAAATGCGTGAGGGTATCCAGTACATCTGCACACTTTTCCATACCGCTTCGCATTAACACTCTTAGGTTTTTTCACAACATTCTTGCTTGCTGATGCGTTGGAATCAGCTTCATCTTGCTGTTCTACGCATATTCGTTTGACATCGACGAATCTATTCTTTGGCTGTTGTTTCTTTTTCAGCTTGTACATCTTCATAGCTTTCGTCAGTTGCTTTATATCAGTCAATGTTGATTCGTCCGAGATTCCGCTTTGCTTCTTGGAATCTTGCTTCATCTTTCTGCGCTTTGTGCGCCTTGTTTCTTCTTTTCTTTCTATGCCTTTTAAAAGTCTCCTTCCTACTTTTGGCTTCGTCTTGTTTCCTCCAAGTAGTCTATCAGTCCGATCTTTCACTACATTCGAGGGATCTCTGACTGAATACCTGAGCAAGTCACTATTGGTATCACTTCGAATCACTTTGACACCAAAATTGCATAGAACATTTGTCCCCAAGATCAGCTCATTTTGTAACGATCTGGCGACATATACCGGAATCTTCTTGGATTTGCCAAACAATTCCACAGGCATCTTGATTGCGTCCAAGATTTCTATTCTGTTCCCAGAAGCGTCGCGTATCGTAGCATTAGATACTACTCCTGAGATTCTCTCCACAAAAGCATCTAGATCGACTCCAGCTTCTTTGGCCCTCGTGAACAGCTTTAATGATGCTATAGATACCTCGGAGCCAGTGTCTATAAGTGCGTTTACTTCCATATTCATCACTTTTGCTGGCACAACTACCTTCTTACCAACAAATTCTTCAGCACTCTTCCCTACACCTGTGGTTGCGCATAACCACCTATCAAGAGCAGTGGAGAACGAAGATGCCTCGTGTTCTTCATTTCTTCTTACATTGTCCTTTGTGGCATTCTGCAGTGTGCAATGTTTTGCTTTATGTACTGATTTGCCACATTTGAAGCAACTACTTCTTTCCTTGCCTTTTACGGTCAATCTTTCTCTACTTTCACCATGATCAAAGGCCGACTTCGAATCAGACCATTGTCTCGGTGAAGCTTGATTGCCATAAAGCTTTTTGCTATGCATATCGCTGCCCTGCTTGACTTCCTTTCTATGCAGGTTTCTCTCCAGCCTCAGCGCTGCTTCTTTTACTTTGTCATAAACGACATCTCGCGGGCTAGTCTCAATCGCTTCGGCCAAGATATAGCTTCCTTCCCAATTAGCTAACTGGGAATACAGAAGTTCCGCTTTTTGGAGTGCCACCCCATCCCCTTTTTCTTCATCAGGGTAGGCTTGACGGCACGCGCTCTCCAGTACATAGCAGAAATCACTTACTGTCTGATTTCTTTTCATTCTCAGATTCCTCAGTGTAGCCAAGGCTTTTACACGAGAAGTGTTGCCTCCTTCAGCTAACCTTTCGCTCATCGCCTGAACTACTCCGTCGAAGGAACCTTCTTTTACACTTTGCGGTAGTGTCTCAAATAGATTTAAAGCTTCCCTTTTCAGAAAACTTTTGAGAAGTTGTATTAGTATATCATCATCCCAATGCTTCCTTGGGTACTTCAACAGAAATGATTCCAAAAAGTTGCTGAAACTCTCATTTGCTTTACCATGAAAAGGTTTTACGTCTGGTACTGTAGACGCCAACATGAATTCTCTCATGGTAAATTCGGAACTGGAATTTTGTGACGCATCTTGCAATCGGACATTATGCACATCCGTGTCCAACTGTTGTCGATTGCTTCTGCCCAACTCTAACCTGTGCCTATGCGAGGAGGTCTTCAGTGCACTATCTTGCGCGTTCTGCACTGTTGGCATTTGACGCTTTGATAGAAGTATGTTGCATTCCTCATTTATATTCGCAAATCTTTGATATTTGCGTCTGACTATGTGATCAGAGTTGCCTTCTGATGTGTCTGTTTCCCGATCTCCATTAATATCAGATGGGTTTGTGCTGGCTCCATGGTTGTCACAACCTCCGCTCAAGTTCCTGAGCTTTAATCGGAGGCACTGAACCTCACTTGACACTTCGTTGGCCTTTTCCTC